ACCTATGACTTTTTTGTTTTTTGGGATCGTAAAGTTGATGATCGGGTGAGTAATTGCTAAAATCAAATAGTTTACGCTCTTTACTCAAGTGTCCGTTTAAATCGTCAGTTTGAATCTGAACGAGTAAACTGTCCGTACCCGTGTAAAGTATATTTATTTTATCGCCAAAAGTGGATTTTAGTTCCTTGTAGTAAAAATCATACATTAAAGTTTTGGATAGGTCGAGCACGCTTACGCCGAAGTAAATGGACTTGTTTAATTTGGTCTTTACTCGATACATTTCCACAAATGAAAGGTCGCACTCTTTAAATGGTACCGTTGATTTGTAATTCAGTTTAAAGCTCAATTTTTAGTACTTATCTGCGTCTTGTAAGTCCCTCAATAAAGGACCGTACAATCAGAATCGAACATTTTCCATAGTCTTGCAAAAAAACCAAAAACAAGTTATTCATTAATTTGAAGAAGTCTTTCTCAAAATCAGACTTGGCTAATTTGCGCAGCTCAGTGTTTTTATCGATGTAGCTTTTCATCCAAGACCGTTGTTTAAATGACATGACGCAGTGTACTTCTTTTAACTGAAGGCCGAGTTCCAGGTACTTTTGCAAAGTACGATAATGAACTACGTATTTATGTTTTGTGCCAAAAGTCGCTACGAGTTTGTCTAGAGATGTTACTTGATCGCTTTTGTCAATCAGGTTATTTTGGTAGCTTGAAAACCATTCAGCGGGGACTACTAAGTTTTCGGGTGCCAGCGGGGAGTCGTTGTGTTTGTCGTGCAAGTCTTGCGGGTAGTCATTTGGTGGGATTTTAAGAATAAACTTGTCTAAGCTTTTAAGCCACTGAAACTCACCCACGGGTAACGAATGACTCATGGCCCAGCCGTACAAATTGTTGGCGTCCAGGTACATGATATGCGACTCTGGTTGATTTGGGATTTGGGTCATAGTCTGGTAGCTCCGGGTTGTTCGCCTTGGCATAGCGCTTTGCACCCATACTCGAGATACTGCCTCGTTTGGCCCTTTCAAAAAACAGGTGCTGGTCTATGTCTGTCAGTAATTCCAGTTTAAAACCCGAGTGCTTTAACAACGCGTCCCACGATAAGCCCGGTGACGTGTAATAGTTAGCTGGGTCAAGGTCGTATAGTTCTGTTTACAGACTTTGCAGAAGTTCTCAAATACACCCGCTAGTAGTAACACGTCCGTTTCCACGTAGAGGTCGTGGTAGTCGCCTAGGGTTTTACAGTTAAACGTTTGCCATACTGTTTGTGCTCGGGCGTGTTCTGTCTCGGTTATGGTACTGCTTTAGAGAACTGTAAAAACCCGATTGGGGAGGGCGTTGTGGTTCTTCAAATTTATTAAACGAGTCTATGTATTCGTACGAGTAAATTCCCTTTTCTAAAAGCATGTCGGTGTCATTTGGAAACCTTTTGCAAAGTAAGTTAAAAACCATCGGGTGAACAATTTTTAACCAGTCGATCTAGCGAAGCCGCCATGAAATGAAACGAGCCTAAGAGCCTAAGTTTCGGACCAAACGAAAACGAAATGCAGTTTTCTGTGTTTTTAGCGATTATTTTTATTTCTTCTCCTTTAAACTAGTGGGCTCCCTGCATGATTAAATGTGCGTCGTATTTCTCCAAATTGTGTAAAATCACTGGAATAAACGTTTGATACGGGACGACTTTTAACTTTAGGTTACAGTTTGCGTGCGCAGGGCCTCCGTACTTACCCGTCAGGTGACAGTGATCTCTAACCTTTCTAAACTTGTTGATGGGCTTTGTGCATGTCATAGAAATAAACTCTTTAAAACCAGCTATGTTTGTAGTACTGTAATTCACTCGATCGCCTTTAGTCCTCGGTTCTTTGAGGATTGCACACAGACACTGGGTTTCGTCCGTCTTGTCGATAACCTTTTCACAGATCCAACTGCAGTTACAATTTTTGTAAATTTCTTGTAACTCGCGCGACCAAATCAACGGCTTTTTACTTTTAAACATTTTGTTGGTCTTGTCTACTTCCTCAGAAAGAGACCTGACAAAATCACCTGCCGCATCTTGACTTCTGTACGTCTTTTGGCTAGAGCATTTACCGTCGCATCTGACGACCGCGTATGAGTAGCCGCAGGGTTTGTGGATCTGGGTTTTGACCGTGTAAGACGAAGTCGGTGAAAGGCGTTCTAAAACAGACTCAAAATCTGCGTGAATGACAAAAGGTGCATCTTGCTTGTTCTTGTAGTTTTCAAATTGTAATTTTTTTTACCTTTGGTGGGTAATTCGACTTTACAGGGAACCACGTCTAACCCTTGGCAATGTTCTTTGTGCCTGGTTAACTTTTCTTCTGTTTGAAAGTGCGACATGCAATTAAAGCGCCAGTATTTTTATGCTTGTGTTTATTAATATCGCCCGCCAACCGAAAAAGTTTTTAATCCAGCAGTAGTGACTCTTTTCACCTTGGGTAAAATAAAGTAAATTGATAGGTTCGCCCACGCGCTTAGTTTTGTAAAGAATGTAAACGCCGTCTTTTTGTCGTAACCAAACACATTGATTGCTAAGTTGGTTTGTGATTCGATACGTGGGATTTGTGAGATGGGTGACGGAAAGCTTATGTTTGTAAAATTTATATATCTTGGATTAACTTAAATTTGACTTTTGACGTAGTCTGAATATAATTTCAAAGCTGCCCTCAGCGCCCATCTAATACACTACTGGTCGTTGTTTTGGACGTTAATAATTTCTTTTTTGAACCCCAATTGCGCAGGTAGTGGAATGTACGTCGCACCCACCGGGTTGTATTTAACCACGTTGATATAAAAAGCGTCAACTTTTTCAAATATCCATCCCGATCCGCGTTGTGTTGAGCCTCCACATCCTCCATCTATTTTTGCCTCTGTTCTGCGAATACATTTTTAATGTTGGCTTTATTTGCAACTAACTTATTTTCGCTTGGGAAAGTAAAAACACCAAAGTCGGTTTGGTAGGGTTTTTCCAATCTAAACTGCACTTTGAGAGCGCTTTGTAGTTTGTAAGAACCAACTTCCTTCAACTCCTCTCAGGCTAACGCTTTCTTCGTAGTAAAAAAACTGGGTATTAGCTCCCAATTGCGGTAATTGCCTTGAAAGCGTCTTACGTTTCTAATGTCGACTTCTGCAATTTCCTCGGGTTGAGTGTAAGCTTTAATCGCTTTGATGAGATCTTGTTTTACGACTCTGCCCTTGTGTGTAAATGGGATACCGTGTTCTTGGACTGTTTTTAACAGCTGGCGATATGACTGACGCGGGAGGTACCTAAGTTGCCTTTGGTTCGTTCGGATAGCTTGGACGAGCTCTGGTTTGGTATGAAATTTACGCTTGGGTGCCGGTAATGGAATGTTATACTGCTTCACAAAATCTGCTAAAACCCCTCTTTAAACCTGTAAAAGGTCGATAGTAGAGGCCTGTGTTGTGGGTTGTTCATGTCTCTATTTATATATAGGTTTGAAATTTTTTTTCGTTTTTCCCCACGACTTGATTTGACATGTTTTTTTTATATATTATAATTTTTATATATAGTCCGTTTATTTAAGGCGGTTGTAAACATAGCACATTTTGCTTAGAACAGAGCCGCGCTTTAAGTAGAAGTCATGAGTTCAGACCAGGCAAGTCGAGACTTGTAGCGACCAGGAAAGCGAGGGAAATCCTCTTTGGCTTTGTTTGAGAGTCACGTGGTCAAAGGTCTAGGTTATTTGTGCGAGAATCTGTGCAGGCCGGCGCGAGTCGCGACTTGTTGACAAAAAGTGCGCCGGGGCCAAAGGTCAAGGTGAGTGAAGTGGGAAACCCCGGCAGAGAGGAGGAAACAGAGTGCAAAAGGGGGTTGACGTTGAACCAAATTTTTCCTTATTACTGAAGTGTGGCTGGGGGTCTGCCAATCGCAGTCCTGCAAAGAAAAGGAAATTTTTCTTAAGATGTAGGGTACATTTTCATCTAAATTACCACTTAATTGCAAATTGTGGCAAAATGAGCATTCTTGTATCCTAAAAAGGGGATACCTTTGCGAGGCGTTTTGACACAGGAATAGGCATTCCATATAGCCGTTCCACGAAGCAAGTGGAATAATGAAATAAAACATGATGTATTAATTTAATCACATTTTTTTAAATAATTTTTTTCTCAAATTAAGTTACAACAATGGATTAGTCTCTGTTGAATATCCTAGATTGTGAATGGCCTGGAGCAAGTCCTCCCAATAAAAGAAATGAATCTGACCTATGCGCAATGAAATACGACTGATTATAAAACCGTTCCCTTCAATGGATGTTATTTTTTTCAATTTCACCAAGAAAAACTGCTATTCATAAAAAACATTCAAAAATTTGTTTAGTATATCGTGGAAAAGAGTACCGCAAAATGCAAAAATTTTTGCCTCCATGGAGTTTTGCTGGTTATTGACGAATTCCAAATCTCGGGCTGAATCGCGGGCTACCTTCAGCCAGGTGTAATGGTACCCCGTACGAGAGCCCGCTAGTTTGCACCCAGACTTCAGCAGTTACGGATCTCGTTCAGATCTGCGAGAGTACCTGTCGATCTAAGTACTCGTAGAAAATTACGGCTGTTTTGTGTCGCAGCTAATACGCAAACGCCCCTGGATGGTAAGTCTTCACCTTCCATACCCACCACACTCTTTGCGGCGTATCATTGGTAGCGTGGATCGCTCTCTGCAATGTGGCACGAGAGGGACGAAACAGCCGTCGCTTTTGGTAAGTGGGCAAACTTCGTCCGGAGTGGGAAAACGGCAAAAAAAGGCAACATTTCTTTCTTTAAATGAGGAAAAGGCGAGTTTTCTACAATTAACAACCTAGCGGGTGGTTTACACCGTAAGTAGTGAACATACCAGTTCAATCTCAGCTCATGAAATCAAGCGGATGTTTAGTTATGCCCCCGTATATCCCAGATGACCTTTTCGAAAGAAATCCCTATAAATCGGGAAAGGGCCCAGTCATGCCAGTATACGACGGAGGAGTATTCGTCGGGCCCTGCTTACGTTACGGGTCTAGCGAAGATCCGTGCCACACTAGTGGGGCTAAGTACATGTACAGTCACGAACACAAATAACACGAGCACACTTGAGACGAGATCGCGCTCAAGACGAGCATATTTCTTCAGTCCCGTTCAAAATCGTCACGTATGAGAGAAAACTTACGTGTACTTAAAACGAGCTACATGTACACGTACGTATGCTAAGACTGAGCGCTTTTGCCAAATCGACAGTGTCAAAAACCATTGTCCATGGCATTTTTATTACGAGTACAATTGAAAAGCGTCTTCAAAAGCGCTATCTCAGTAAGCAATTCCTGATGGAGGGCATCAGTAGTTCTTGAAAAATGCTAATCTGCTCGGCAATTTGAGCTGCGGTTTGGTCATCGATGACTTGGTGACTCTGTTCCTTGTGCCGCTAGAGGGGCTTTATTCTAGACGACAATAGTTGTTGCAATGTTGCGGCATCAAAGGAGTTTTAATCACAGCAGATCTGGTGTGAAAGGTGTTTTTTAAAAATCTGAACATGAACAATTATGAAAATAGATCCCGCCCACCAGTTACCAACCAACGGAAATTCCCTAATTTCAATGCCCCTTTACATCCGGTCCTTATATGAACTGGTTCTCAAATTAATTAAACCTTTACTTATGACAACAGTGGCCGGCTACCCTGCGCCGCCGCATGCATGTGGCGTGGCCAGGCAAAGCACTCCTTGGAAACTGGTAGCCAACGTTGCCAAGTTATGTGCAACGTTGGCTACCAGTTTCCAAGGAGTGCTTTGCCTGCCCACGCCCCATGCATGCGGCGGCGCAGGGTAGCCGGCCACTGTTTTGTCAAACAAGCAAGCATACTCAAAATCTTGTTTCGTTCATTCGAATCATATTTATTAATATGATTTAAAATTTATTACAATTTTAACCGCCAAGCATATTGTTTGGATTACACTACGCAGTACTACAAAATACTAAGTAATAGTCTGAGCCTGAAAGACCTAGTGCTACAGATTACTGACTTCTGGCTAGGTTACTTCCATTGTTACTTGTACAGAGAACAATAAAGCCATGCATTCATAGTGCCACAACACTGTATGGTACATTGTCTTATCTATTGTATCTTATGGCTTCACAGAACAATAAAGTCATGTCCTCTTACAAGCGACAGCGCTCTGTACTAAATTTTACTACAAGTAGTAATTTGTAGTATAATGTAGGGTTAGGGTTAAGATTGAATACTAATCCACTGCATATACTGGTAATGCATCATTGGCAGTTACAGTTACCATGAAGCAAGGAATACATGTTGGTGTCATGGTACACGTTCAAGAGGCATATCATACCTATTTTATATACTAACCTTTTCTATCTCCTCTCTATGGATAGGCTCTCTGGGCGCAGAGCTTGGCTTGCTGATGATGGTCATCGCCAGGCTTCAATCTTTACAGTGGCCACCAGTGGCCACTACCGTGATGCCCTTTAAAAATTGGCTTAAAAATTTCAATGATCTTCAATCTTCTTCAATCATTCTGTATCTACTGAACAAGTTTTAAGACCATATTTTGACGGGTTATGGAATTATCTTGGAAATGATGCATCTCTTGGTGTCAATGATCAGTAGGCCCACATCTATTTAAAGTTTTATTCAATTTTCAAGTTACCATTCAGCGCTAGCATTTCTGTGAACGACTGGCAGCCGCACCTAACACTACGTTTTTTTCACCGACTGGTTTTGCATGGCCCTGTTGACAACATGGTATGGCAACCATATCAACGTAGCTGAGTTGTGTGACTCTAAAAATGTGGCACCAGACTACTATGTATACATGTACATTTAGACTGGTTACAAGTCGTGGCACAGAATTGAACATTCTGCACCGATTTGATTTTGTACAATGCACATATTGAGACCAAGTCATTATTATTTTGGGATCGCGAACTGGAGTATGACCCAGTTTATTTTTTTCTTTGCTGTTTCACTGGTATTCACTCAGGCACTGGGCATGACAATAAGCTTTCATCGGATAAATGTTTGTGACCCAGTGACTGACTTGCATTGTTTGTGAGTAATTACATGCAACTAATTTTCGAAATACAGTGTTGCCTTTATGGCATCATGAAAAGTAATAAAATACAACACCAAATGGTAAATTAAAAGTTAGTACAGTATTATTTATTTTTAATTTCACAATTCAAGCAGACTGTTCAGCATGTAAACAAAAACAATGAGAGTTGCAAGTTGAAATTTAAACACCATGTTGAAATTGAAGGAAAGTATTAATGTCATTAACAAGCATGATAAGTAAACCTTTGAAAGTGGCCTTGGTACCCTTTCAATTGGCCTTGGTGCCCTTCGGTTTTTTGGGAGCATTGGCCAAGTGGCTTTGACCCTCTGAAGCTTAAGGTTGAAGCCTGCATCACCTGATTTTTTATTGAATTTTGAATATTAATTTTCCCCATAGGTTTTGGACATATTTTTCAACTGCCAGAATGGTACGGACCTTGGCAACTTCACAAAATGAAACTTGTTCCAAGCAAAGACCATAGTGCATAGATGAACCTACATGTAGGAGCATGACATCACTTTGATGTCATGAAATGATTTGTTATTTAATTTTGAAGATCTATTTTCTCCCATTGATTTTGTACACATTTTGAAACCCATTGACTTTGTATATTGTACATGTACAGTTGATGCATACGCATGTCCGCGTGCGATCAACTGACGTGTGGGATCAGTTGATGTTTGCAGTGTCGCACGATCTTATTGCATGATTTCTAGATAATTTGGCTAGAAGGTTATGAAAAAAATCATGCAAAATATCAAGGGAAATGAACTCATTTCATGTCATTGGGCCTCAACCAATAAGCCATTTCTGAGTAAAATTTGACTAAAAATCTGGTGCACTGAGTTATCTGACTGCGCATAAACATAACAATTTGAATTCCTCAGACTTAAAACACCGTTGCTATACCTTGTGATTCGAGGCAAGCTTTTGCATAGCGACCACCATCTCCAGAATGGACTGGTTCCTTTGTCCCCTCCTTATCCATTGAGAACAGTGTAATGTTGCAAGGCATCTCTTATGTAATTGTAAGCAAAAGCTTGCCCCGAATCACGAGGTATAGCAACAGTGATTTTAGTAAGGAGAATTCAATTTGTTTTGCTTACATAATATAAAGAACTCAGTGTATCAGATTTGGGTTAAAGTTAACTCACGAAAGGCTTAGTGTTTAAAGCAGCACTCAACATAAATTGTCCATGCACGTAACGACCACTTGCCCAGTCTCGCGCCAACACATGGATTCGATCAGGACAATATTTTCAATGGGTCCATGTGTTTTCTCAGGACCTATTGGGACCTCCTGGACCTGAAATTGCACCAATTGAGTGCTTAATTAGGACTTTGCTCGATCAAAGGATTCCAAGCAAATCCCACAAAAGCTGAACTTAAACGAAATTCATGCACCAGAGCAAGAAATTGCTGAAGGAGTTGACACCGAATAAGCATGATCTTGAGCATGGGTACACCCAACAAGCAGACGGTATAGTGCGGTGGGCAGCTGGGTTTGGAAGCTGGATGGATGAAATCCTGGAACTGGTGGGCAATAGTATTAAAAACATTCTCAATTTCAAGTTTTTGTCTGCACTTTCTGTGCTCTGTAGCTCTGGACAGTGATGTTAAGGGAAACAGAACTAACTCAAATTAGCTTTAAATTTAAACTGACATATCCTGGGTAACTTGAACTCTACAAATGGCCTTTTTTAACATTTCGACATGGCCACCAAAATCATGTCCAAATGATAAAAAAGGTGATTAACAATGATTGTGTACATCCTATGTGTTCATCAGCACAATCCAGAGATCAACTTGCACGTACATGTACAGTAAACTCCAGCTAAGTCGGCACTCTCGGGACTCAAGAAATCATGACAGCTTACGTGAATGCCGACTTGTGTTGATGGTTGTCATTTTGCTGACTTACACGTACCATGCACGTACACGTGTATTGCCTATGTACATGTACAGGTACATTATGATTCCTTGCACTAATTCAATGGCTTTGATTTACCCAGGTTTATTTCTACCTCCATGGTCTATCCCAGCAAATTCATTCTCGATTATTATCCTGCAAATTCAATTAATGATCATGTGTCCCTAAGGACGAAACAAGGATGGCAAGCCACTTGCAAAGTTGCATATGACAGAGTTGCGACTCGACAGAGCAGTACGTACGTGTACGTGATACAGTTACGGTACATACACTTGATACACACGTGTTGGTTAAGTTCGTTCCATACAGTTTTGATACCAGACCCGACGATTCTGACTACCCGATGAATCATTATCACGCGTCTGGGAATCTCTGGGCAGGGAACCAGACTACGTTCAATAAGGCAACCCCTGAAATGCACAGATCGCATGCGTGTAGCACTAGAGGGATTACTGGTATTGATGTTTTCATACTGGCCGCGCACGCACAAAACTTGTCACTCGACACTTCTTGGCAACCGCGGGGAAGGAAACTGATACCAAAGCACTATTTTTTTAATGCCGACTTACACAAAGGAATTTTTGTGGTTTTGTGGAAAAGGGACTGAGAAAAGCATGCCGACAGATATGAAATGACAACGTACATGTATAAATGCCGACTTACATGTAGAAATAAAATTTTGAAGGGAAATGCATTACAGACGATCGGGACTTTTGTGAAACGGCCGACTTAAAAGATATGATGGGTTACTCGATGTCGACTTAGTTTGAGTTTACTGTACATGTACCGGTACATGTACATTCATTAACTACTGTACCTCCTTTGTACATTATTTAGTGTTTTAGTATGATGGATTTTATTCAAAGGAAAATGAAAATCAGGATGGAGCACATTACCTGTACAGTAAATTTGCAGAGGTTTTACAGTTGCATTAGACATAAGCCTCGGACTGACTAAAGTCCCTGAAAACACGGTGCATACTGTATTTCATAACAATGCCCCCCCCGGGGACAAACCAAACCATTTCATTACAGGTTCACAGTAAATATTCAAAAATGTATGAAATTTCAGTGTAGACCAATGGTTATTTATGTAAGCTGTTTATACGGAATAATTGAATTTCCCTATTTGCTTTGTGTGTATACATATACATGTAGGTATCCTTCGTACTACTCCTGGAGTGAAAGACAGAGAGAAATCTG